ACCTTTGAAAAAAAAAAATTGAAAAATAAAAAAGAAGGCTTTAAATTTTGATACTGCTTTTATTCTAAGGCCAGTTTTATTTTATTTTTTATAAATACCTTTTTTCCCTTCTCTTTTTGAATTCCTTCTCTTTTTGAATTCCACATCTGTTATTGCAAACAACTCGGTTATTTCCAGGACTAAATAAGAAGTCCTGTGTAATCCAGTTGATCCTGAGAAATAATAATTTTCTGAAGTCTCTTAAATCTAGAAACTGCTTTGAGCAAACTCCTGAGCCTCTCGAGAAAGCTCTGAGCTGTGTGGGTGATTTCAACTTTCAAGCTAGATTGGTGGAATTTTAGAGATAATAAAGACAAAATAGGCTCTTTTCTGTAAGAGCCAAGTGGAGATTCGTGTCCTGAGATGTGTGAGATCTCAAGTCTCTGGTGAACAGTCTCACTCTGAAAGATCTTTACGGAAGGAATTCTCCTTCAATTTCTTGTAGGAAATTAGAGGTAAATATAGTATGTGAAACCTGAAAGTGCAAGATTAAGAGGGAACAGGTTGTGTCCATGGAGATTGTTCACCAGGGGAACTGTAGACACTGCCTGGGCAAATGCTCAGCTCCACAGGGAGGAATTTCATATTCCAGGAGGGTAAAAGTGAGGGAGAAAGGAGGAAGAACACTTGCAAAGGTGTAACTGTGTGTGTAACTTGCTGCCCAGAAGATTTTCTGTGTGGATTAATGGATTTAAACAAACTTTGCTTATAACTGTGGTTTCAGTATTTGCTCGGGGTCCTGTGAGTTGAGCCTCAGAAGAAACAATCTCCAAATGTGCTGTGACCACAATCCAAGGGTATCTTCCTTTCATCTTCTCAGGCTGATGTATGTGGTTTAAAAGTTCTGAATGCCAGGTGGATAAAGCTTCTGGCTCTCCAAAGGTTTAGGAGAATGAGGACCATGGTCAGAGCAGAGATGCTGGGCCATGGCAGAGCAGAACCGAGCCTGTTGCCCAACACGTGTGCTGGGATCAGGTCCTGGGTAGGTGGCAGGGGCAACCACTTGGCACTAGGGAATGGAGGGTGGGACCCTCCTCAGCCTCTTCAGCCATTCTCTGAAATCACACTTGGTAAGGTTGAAAGGACAGAAAAAACTCAGGAGTGCAACCAAACCCTCACTCTGTCAGCAGTCGCTGTCGGTACGTCCTCAGCCTTTTCTCTTTCTTTACTTATGGAAGCTGAGTTGAGGAGGAGCCTTTGTCTTGGTGATTCCCATTTTAAAGTGGTGTCCTGGGATAAGGGCTTTCCATTTCTTTTGAAGATGCTACTAGAAGAAAACTCATTAGAACAAGTGCAGTTACAAATCACTGTAGCTCTTGTGGTTTGACAGGTTTGGAGAGTGTCATCATGCAAAGCAGCTTTGCTTTCCGCTTTGTCATGTGCCATCGGGGCATTTACGAGGCTGAGGCATCCCCAATAGATGTGAAATATTTGGCTTTTGGGATTTATTCTTTGCTTGTTGCCTTGCCGTGTAGTTTGACAGACTTGTGAGTCCTACAAGATGAGTCCTTTCCAGGCACCAGTTGTGATGGCCATGTGGTATGGGGGTGTAGGAAATGGTCAGCTCCTCGTTTTTGTTGAGGCAAAGGGCGATGCAGAAGGGTGAATGCCCACAGGAAAACCCACCACAGCCCACCTACAGGTCAGAAATGGGAGAAGAAAGATGGATCCTGCTGGGTTCCTGAAATGTTAACAAACCTGATGTTCAAGCAGAGCAACAGGATGAGCGAGCTCAGAATTTTGGGGTGCTCTTGCAGAGGAGCATTGCACTGGGGACTCCTTCATGGTTACTGTGGCAGACTCCATATGGGCAGTGTCTGTGCCAACAGCTCGGGCAGATGGGTTCAAAACCAGCTGTGGACTGAGAGATTAAAGCCAACGGACTGAAATAAAGCAATAATAATAATAGTAATGATGATAATAATAATAACAATGATGATTATAATCATCTGTTGGAAGGGTGGCATCAGATACAGAAGGTCTCACTGCTTCCAGGTGGAAGTGATGAGTTGTTTCCCTGTCTCAGCGGAAGAAGAGTTAAAACCGTCTTTAACATGCAGGTCCTGATTCAGCAGAGCACATAACCATCTATTTTAAGTGTATGGATGCTCTCCAAAGCCTTCTGGGAGCTACTCATCTTTCGAAAGCAAAGCATATCATTAAGAACTTCTCTAATCTGAGGCCACCCAACTTCTCATAGCATGGTGTCCTAGATTTCTGGTGTTTGACTTGTCCTTCATATTTTAGCAGATCGACCTCCAGTCTGCCTTGAAGAGAAGTCACCAGGCAGGTGACTGCTGCAGGGCTGGGAGTGTAGATAGGCTTTTTATTGAAAGGCCCATTGAGAAGGTGGAGTTTGCTATAAAGACACATGGAATGGTGTGATGGTGTGTTTGGGTCAAGGACAAGAGTTGGTGAGGGGCAGAGATGGAGTACACACATGGAACCCCACGTGTGTCATGCACCTCGTAAACCAGTTACGCCAAATTAATAAATGCCCATCAGTTCCTCTCCTGGTGTGCCTGGGGTTGGGAAGTGGATTTTATGGTCAACTTGAATTTTAGGCCTGGTGAAAGGGAATATGTCAGCTGTTTTCTATACATATGTTTGATATATTGGTTAAAATATCACTAATAGAACTTTATTCTGCAGTAGAAGTGATTGTGGGTATTGATGAGAGCAACAGAGGACATGCATCAAAGCTTTCCCAATAAATCAACATACCAGGTTCTTCTGGAGTATTACTCCAACTTATCAGGCTGTGGAAAAAAAAAAAAATTAGGATTATTCTGTGGTTATTCTTGAACATTTAAATAAAGTACAGTAGGGTGCTGTACAACATGTGCTTTATCAGATTCTGAGGCTTTTGCCAGCAGAAATTCTTAGACCAAACTCATTCTGGCTGAGGGCTGAAAACAAGCTGTCGTTACTTAAAAAGAAATAAGAGATGCCTGATTTGAGAAAACTTCATTTATTCCAAAAGGGCCGAGATAAACACACTTGAATTTATTCTCGCTTTCTACATTAGAGTAATTACTTGGAATTACACCAACTAAATTTGGTTCAGAGGAGATAAAAATCGGCCACCTGTTGAGGAATAAAATATTTAAGCCTGTTATAAAGTAGTTTAACTTACTTGAGGAAAAGAAAACACGGTAACTAAGACGATGACATGAAAGTGTTATCAATTTCTGTGTAAAAAAAGCTCACAAACAGGCTCCTGTATCTACACGACTTGTCTGTGTGCTCAAGTGCGAGCCTGGATGTAATTGCATTGTAAAATCTCGTTTGGATTAAATAAATTATGTACATATATATATATATATATACACACACACACACACACAGCAATTCTGCTGTACTCTGTGTGTTAAAAATGGATTTAGGGGCACAGCATCTGGCACAACTTGAACCCTATTCTCCTGACACAGGCTCCTGTATCTACACGACTTGTCTGTGTGCTCAAGTGCGAGCCTGGATGTAATTGCATTGTAAAATCTCGTTTGGAACTTATCAGGCTGTGGAATATATATATATATATATACACACACACACACACACACACACACACACGCACAGCAATTCTGCTGTACTCTGTGTGTTAAAAATGGATTTAGGGGCACAGCATCTGGCACAACTTGAACCCTATTCTCCTGATAACTGGTCTACTAGGAAAAAAAACTGTAGGAAAAATAGGATTTAGGGCTCTGTGGGGTTTTTTTTTTTTTTTAAATGCTATGATTTAAAAAAAAAAATAATAAAAAAAAGAAAATCCTTTTGCCCGTGGTTTATGGGATGTAGAAATACTGTTTTGGGGTTCTTGCGGTTTGATCTTGGATTGTGCTGTAACTGCAAGTTTATTGAATATCAGCATCTATAAAAGAGCCACGTCAGCTAATGAGTTTAAGCAGAAGCTTTTAGAACCAAATCAGATCACTCATAATTTAAACCAGTGTGTTTTGCCAGCGTTCAGTGTTGAATCAAACTGTTGCCATATTGATAAAGCATGTTTCTAATTATTCTAGATTTATATAAAGAACAAGGAGTGGGGATATTGTGGATTAAATCAACTACTCCTCTAAAACTGTGCTTTATGGCTTTCAGAAGTTATCTGCTTTGTGTGCTGAACTCTGAGCACTCTGCTCTCCCCTTTCATTAGTTTACATACTATTAATGATATTTATTTTCTCTCCTTCCTTCTCCCCATTCTGATTATTTTAGTTTCATGCCCTGGTCAATAATTTCCTTTGTAGCTTAAAAAAAAGTTGCAAACAAATTCCTCAGTTATTTAGTGTTTCATAGAAATGGTAACTTAAAACCTGTTCAATGATGCAGTAAAACATCAAAACCACTCGGAACAGAATCACAATCAAAAGTCTAAATAAACAGGGGGGTTTTTTGTTTTGTTTTCTCCTGTCTGGCAGGACTCCCGCTGCATTACCATGTAGTTTCAGCAGCAGTTGAGAGAAATAGGTTTGGAAAGTAAACTCATATCCTCAGCCTGGAGCCATTAGGTAAATATACTGTGATACTGTGGGTTATTTTGGTTTTTGATTGGTTTTTTTTTACATTGGATGCTATGATTTCATAAACATGGGTAACAAGCTCCACCAGATGCCCCAAATCAGAGACGGTTGTTAATGCAAATATCCTTGTTTGAACATTGAATGGGTGGATGATGACATTTGCATACATAGAGCTCAATCTGGAATCACGGGGCAATTCATTTTTTTGCCCAAAACTGTAGAAATTGACTTAAGCATTCTCTTTTTAGTTCATAACAGAGATTTTTTATTTACAGCTATTCCGATTTGCATACAGCATATTTTTCACCAGCGACGCAGTCCCCCCGGGTTGCTTTAACGAGGGTCCCATCCATCACTGCCACATGGCATTAACCCCTTATTGCCCAGGGTTTCTGGTGCCTGCTGTTGCTGTCAGCCCAGAGTTGCTCTCTAGTATCAGACAGCTTGTGTCCTCCACGGGCTCCTGGCTTCTCTGAGTGATCTGTCGTAAGGAAGAGTAGCAAAAAAAGAATTTTTCAGCTGGCAGTTTATGAAAAGCACAATGAGTGTCACAGTCAAGAGCAGAAAGAAAAACAGAATGATGTAAGTCACCAAGTCTGGTTTATTTATTTCCCCTTCTTTTAACACCCTGGCTGTTGACATGTAAAAAGCAGAGGAGCTGACGGGTCTCGGTGTGCCGCTCAGGTAAGGTGTGTTGGTCTGAATGATGAGGTGAGCTTCGGTGGCACCGGTTGAATTTAGTAATTCACTATACATGTTCTTGCTTAAATTGCCTCCACGGTAAAAGTAAAACAGGAATGCAAACGCAGTCAATCTTTGGCATAGGAGAGAAAAAATGTTCCTGCTTGTAAAAAGCTGCAAACCAGCCGCATTTTGTCTAAAAACAAATTCATTCACTTGCCACAGCTCAGTGACTTTCTCTTAAATCTTCTTGGCTCATATTTACAACATTCATCCACAAATATAAATCAAAAATGATACAGGTACCTTGTGTCCTGGCCCTTGTTCTCTCAGCACACCTCTTTTTGGGGAAATGCGTTGAATCAGGTGGTGGTCAGCCGGGATGGACTGGAAGCTCTGGAGTCTGCTGGGATCCCCGCTCCACCTGCATGGGAAGAGGCTCTTCCAAAGGCAGAACCAGAGAGGAGCCGAGGCTTTGGCTGGCACCGCTCACTGTCCGGGCAGGGAAGAAGGCACGATGGATTTCCAGCTGGTTGTCTAAAGTGGGATGTACATCAATCCAGGGTTAAATAGCATCCGTGAGGAGAGGCAGCCGGTGCTTTGGGATCCTGGTGGATTTCTCTGCCTCGGGAAGCTCCGTGTTGTTGAAATCCTGCTGCTGTGAAGCATTAGTTGACTTTCTTAATCTCAGTTTAACGGCACACTGTGGAGCCAATGTTAAGAGGCTGAGCTTTCTGCTTCAGCTTTCCAGGCATTCCTTCCGATTGCTTAGAGAAAAAGAAATTAAAAAAAAAAAAATAAATTGCCCAGTGTCCCTTTGTTTAAAAAAGAAACACTCAAAAAGCCTCCCTGGGAATGGGAAGGGGGTCAGTTCTTTGGAAATCTCCTCTGCCCTCTTCTCAACCGAGCTGCGAGGTGGGACTGGGCAGGGTTCTGTCAAACATGACTTTTTTTTCTTCTCCTTTCAGCCCCCCTCCTCGACAGAAGCTCCACCGCAGTGTCACTTGCCACCGTGGGAAGGGGAGAACTGCGTGGTGGTGCTGAGTGGCTCTGCAGCCCGCGGTGCATCTGGCAGTGACACGATGCTAAAGAGGAAGAGATCTTCCAATAAATCCCTGGGAGTGCCTGAGGCTCTGGTGAGAGGTTTTGAGCTGGGGGAGGGTAACAGAGAATGGGACAAAAAGAAGAAAATGACATCAAAACCTTTCTTTCTTTCTTTCTTTCTTCCTCAGACCTTTGTTGTTAGAATCTGGAGTAAACGGAAAATGTCTTTTTTTTCTTTCTTTCTTTTTTCTCCATCTACACAGTCCCCAGCACTCTCTCCAGCCTGACAATTAGCATGTTAATTTTATTTCTTTTTTCCCCCATCAAATTGCTTTTATGCTGCTATTAGCTGCTGGCTGCTTGCCAGCTCGCTCTCACAATCTCTTGCTCCCATGCATCAGATAAGCACCGGTAATACTTTTATTTTAACTTGCTGCTACTTGAAAAAGGGCAGGAGACAGGACTTGGGGGGGAGAGGAGTGAGGAGGAGAGGAGCATTCGGTCACTGGGCAGAGGAAAGGGTGAAACACATTCTACAGTCCCAGGGTGCTGGTCCAAGCAAACGTTAAAGCTGCTTCTGATGAGATATTGCAGCCAAAAGTCCCGGGTGGTTAAACATTTCCATGAGCGTAATAAATGTTTCTGCTGGGAGAGAGGGAATGGAGAGAGGAGAAATCTTCTGGGCAGTTAGATTTAAAGAAAATAAAGTCTCTGCTGCAGGGAAACACCCCCTGAGGCCCTGGCCAGCATGTTCCTCATCTCCTGCCAAGCTCCAGGTGCTCCAGTTAAACCCTTTGTGCCTCCAGCAGCTCTGCTGGAGTGGTTGGAGGGTGTCACATCCCTGTCACATCCTTCTGCATCTCTCCTCAGAAAAGCCACTACCTGAGTGTTCACCTCCAAGTCTTAGGGACCTTTTGAATTCACAATATCTTCCTCTAAGGCTTTGCTGATTTTTGTTTCTCTCTTTTTTGTTTTCCCCTTTTTCAGCCAAAATGACCTGACTCCTCCACGTGCAGCTCTCCAGGGTGATGGTGGGTCTGTCCCTACCTGTACCCAACGCTCCTCTGGTGGACACGTCTCTTGCCTGCAGAGCCACAGCAGTTACACCTATTTACTCTGTGCAGGTTCAAAGAACAGGACAGTGAGGCAGGCAGCCAGCACGGGGGCTGGAAAAATCAACAGTGTCATAAAAAAAAAGCTAATATAGTTTGCAACAGCTTTACCTGGCATGTTTGCTTGGAATAGGAGAGTTTGTGACCAGCAGCACAACATGGTTGGCTGGAAGGCTGGATGTCTTCCCAGGACCATCCCGTCTTCAGCTCTCTCCTCCCTGAACTGTTTTCGAGATTAACTAAACTTTATATCCTTTTTTATTTATTTACTTTATTTTATTTTGGTTTGTTTTGGGGTTTTTTTACTAGTCTGTAGGAAAAACAGGAAGGCATCTGGGGGCTGAGTCCTATAAATAGCATGGACAATCTTTCAAGTTTCACATACTTGAGCAAGAAGTTTGCTATAAACAGCTTCTCTGTAAATGTTACCGACTCTGCAGGAGGGGGGAAGAATACTACAAAGGGTGCACATGGATGTGATAGTCATGGGTGTATTTTCTCCCAGCACAGAAGTGTGGGGTTTTGGCAGCCCTGAGGTGCTCTGGTTGATGGCTCAAGAGTCAAACTGGGTAGAGGTGGAGAAGGAAAGGCCCTGCCAAGGTATCTCCTTGGTGGCTCATCCTCTACCTCCCTTAAGCCATCAGAGGTGTCCCTGGAGGTGGATGGGACAGTGATTCAGTGGGACAGTCACCTGTTTGCTCTGCCAGGTCATTGCCTCCATAGGACCTGTGTGGCTGAGCACCTCTTCCCTGCAAACACGAGGTGCCCCCTCTGAGCTTCCTCCTTCCATCCCTGTTCACATACAGGTTGCACGCAGACACAAAACCAGAATATTTATTTATTTTTCCCTTTTAGTCCTACAAAATATTCTCTCTCATGCTTGGAAGATTTCTTTTCTGCCCCCAAGATAGAATAGCTCAGCTCCAGTGCTAGTGCTTTGGGTTGAGGACTGTTGTTAATGGTCAAGGTCCAACCGCCCGGCGCTGGGATGAATCCTCTGGGTGTTTTACAGGCTCAGGAGCACTCAAAACTCCTCCTGCTTCTTGGCTGACTGGCTGAAGCTGGTATAGAAACTGATGAGAAGCCCTGGGAGTAAATCAGATGTGTTTTCTGCAGCACTGTGTCCAGGCTTAATCTTAAAGAAGATACATTGCCATAAATAATGCCTTAATTGCAAAAGTAAGAGCTGATCCTTTCCCCTTGTTCTCCTTAATTTGGAAGAGCATTTAAAGTCATCTGTTCCTGGTAATTTTTCCTCATTAACTTATTTAGTAGCTTTGTTGTTATTGTCAATTTCTTTCTCCTTTTTTTCCTCCCTTTTTTCTCTCCCCTTTTTTTTCTCCCCTTTTTTCTCCCCCTTTTTTTCTCTCCCCTTTTTTCTCCCCCTTTTTTTCTCCCCCTTTTTTTCTCCCCCTTTTTTCTCTCCCCTTTTTTCTCTCCCCCTTTTTCCTCCCTTCCTTTTTCCTCCCTTCCTTTTTCCTCCCTTCCTTTTTCCTCCCTTCCTTTTTCCTCCCTTCCTTTTTCCTCCCTTCCTTTTTCCTCCCTTCCTTTTTCCTCCCTTCCTTTTTCCTCCCTTCCTTTTTCCTCCCTTCCTTTTTTTTCTCTCCCTTTTTCCTCCCTTCCTTTTTCCTCCCTTCCTTTTTCCTCCCTTCCTTTTTCCTCCCTTCCTTTTTCCTCCCTTCCTTTTTCCTCCCTTCCTTTTTCCTCCCTTCCTTTTTCCTCCCTTCCTTTTTCCTCCCTTCCTTTTTCCTCCCTTCCTTTTTCCTCCCTGCTTTCTCTCTTTTTTTCCTCCCTAAGCTTTCCAGCATTTAATGACTAGTTTTGTTAAGGTTTTTCTTTAATGTGCACTGGCAATGGTGCTGGACAAATATAAAACCTCTGACACTGGCTGGAGTTTAACAATAATAAACTTTTCAATGTTGCAACTTCCTGATGTGTTTGGAAGCTGGGTCAACATTGTTGGCCTTGGTGGCATCACAAGGACAAGTCCTGGGGCTGGAGACAGTCTCTGTCTTCTCCCTTGTGAGTGTTTCTTCTTCTACAGTTGAGTAAGAAATTCCATCTCAGAGATGTTGGAGCCTCCTGGAGCCCAATTGACCCCAGGGAATTTATTGATGGTCATGGTGATTCAGTGGCAATTCTGCCCTGAACTTGGTCCAGGCTTGCCATAGCATGAAAGAAACAGGGACATGAAATGTCCTAAGCAGAAAGAAGGAAAAATAAAGCCTGTAACCCTCAACTGTGCTGTGAAAGGCTGGAGCCTTTTCCCATTTCCAGACTGGTAAATAATGCATGATCTCTCTCTTATCTGCTAACGCAACCGCTAGCACAATAAATATCAACTGAGGGAAATGAAAGTGGAAAGACACATTATCTTTCTCCGTAATGCAACCATTTACAATCTGTGTTACAATCCTTCTGCTCTTAGGAGTGAGCTGCAGTCGGGGGGATGTTTCTATTAGAAAATCAGAATGCAACAAATCACAGGCTGTAACTTTCCAGTGCTGCATAAAAGCAACCTTAAAACCATATAAAGAAAGGGAAATAAAAATAATATACAGATATTATTTCATTTTTAAATCACTCTGAAGGAAAATACTTATTTCCAGGTGCCTGAGAATGGGGGATTGAGGACCATCTTTTCAAATGTGGGGACATAAAACCAAGCACTAGACACCTAGTCTAGGGACCTTGCCTTTGGTTCTTAAATATGGGACTACATGACTGAAGAAATTGACCCAAGTGCAGAGATGTTCTGAAAATATTTTGTTTCCAAATAGCTTCTGTGTGCTATTTAAAGCTAACTTCTAACATCAGCTTTCTCAAGGCATGTTTGAACCAGCTGAAGCAGAAACATTTTGAAAGTTTTCAGAGAAAAAAGGAGCTTGTGTGCTATTTATCTGGGCTGCATCCAAATCCTTCGTTCTTCTCTGGGTTGTGAGGAGCATCATGATCCACCAAGACGTGCACCTCCTGCCATCCAGGTGAGCTTTGCCACTGCTCAAGTGGACGTGGGGAGGTAACTTGGGTTCTTTGGAGA